TATGTAGGATAGATCTTATATATGAATTTTTCCATTTTTAATATCAAATTGGTTGAGAGGCAAATAGAAGTGGACAACAAGAGATAGATGGCCCATGGGTCGGCCACCAAGGTTTCGCTCGGCCGACAAGCTTTTCGATTTTTTATTCTAAACAAAAATTAAGCAAAAGTACAAGAAAAATTAAATATCGCATAACAAAAAATAATTTTAATGTAATTAAATAAGGAAAAAAGGAAATATGGTGGTTTTGATGGGTGAGCCCGCCTTTCGGCCCACAAAGCACATGGGCTTTACTTATCAAGCTCGGAACAACTCGCCTAGCTGAAATCCGAGCTCGGCTCTACACATGGGCCTAGCTGAAATCCGAGTGTGAAGAAATAGTGCATTCAACATGTGGCACATTTCATGATGGGAAATTACAAAAAATCAGGCATTTAATTTTTCAAATTCAAAATTCTGGTGTGAATTTTATTTAATCAAAAATCAGGTATTGAATTAATAATTAAATGAAGTATTATATATTATATATCCAATCCCTCCCCAAATTTCCTAAATCTAATCCAAACCCTAAATAATTTAGAAATTGACCCTACCTACCTCCACCCACCTCATTTTTCCCAAACTCTTTCTCTCTACCTTTCCTCTCTCTCTCTTTCGCTACTCTCCTCTCCATTCTCTCTCAGCACCGTTTCCTAAGTTGAAATCGCCGCCATCGCCTTAGCCTCACCGCTGCAGCTATCCTATCTCTCGTCGTCGTCACAACGATTGAAGCGGCGATTGAAATGGTATATCTGTATCGACGACATCTAAAGCTGCGTCGTCGTCGAAGAACCCCAAAGTCCACCTCTGTTTTACAGTATTCTCTCTCTCTCTCTCTCCCGTGCTTCTCTCTTGTGGTGGTTTTTGTGGCTGCTCCAGCTATTGGTGCGAGTTTGTGATGGTGGGGTGGTGTCGCGGTGGCGTCACAGTGATGATGCTAGTGTGAATCTACGGTGGTGTCGAGGGGGTTTTTTGTGGCGGTGGTGTCGCGGTGGGAAAAAATATGTGATGGTGCCTGGTGGTATGTTATTGTGCGATGGTGGTGTTGCTGTGGCGGTCTAGTGTCTCTTGTCGTGGTTGTTGTGGTTGCTCCTACGATTGGTGTGAATCTGTGGTGGTGCCGTGGTGTCACGGTGGAGATGCAAGTGTGAATCTTTGGTGGTTCAGTGGCGTCGCAGGGTTTTTGTTTTTTTTTTTTTTGGTGGTGGTG